CAGGTTCTTACTTTATGTCTGAGCTGGCCTGGACCTCAGTCCTCCTATTTGTGCTTCCCAGTTGAGAAGACAGGCTTTTACCACTGTGCCCAATCATTGGCTGAGACGGGGTCTTGCAAACTTTTGGTCCAGGCTGGCCTCAAACTGTGACGCTCCCATTCTCTGCTTCCCAAGTAGCTAGGATTATAGGCTTAAGCTACAATGCCCAGTCTTAATTTCACATTTAAAAATGTCATTTTTAGATGAGGGGTCAGGGGCAGGGGGGAAAAATGGCCCAAACAATGTATGCACATATTAATTAATTAAAATGTCATTTTTTAAATCTAGATTTCTAATTTTTCCTGAAAAATCACAGGATGTGACAGTATTCAGCCCATGTGACTACAAGAAAACAATCATCTAGAACAGAACAGATATGGCCTTAAATCCACAAAGTGTACTCTGTGTAGTCAACACGAACAGAAACCTCATATAGTCTACTCAGCTCTTCTATGCATCAATGGTTTGTACCATAGTTATTTAGCAGGACATGTGTCATATGCCATATAATGGGTAATAAAAAATTTTATTCCATGTTTTGTTGGGGGATTTTTTTTGGTAGGAATGGGATTTGAACTCAGGGTTTCATGCTTGCAAAGAAGGCACTCTACTGCTTGAGCCAAACCTCTAGTCCATATTGCTTTGGTTATTTTGGAGATGGTGGGGGCAGGGGGTTCTCTATTTGCCCAGACTGGCCTTGAACCAAGATCCTCCTGATCTCAGCCTCTCCAGAAGCAAGGATAACAGGCTGAGCCACAAACACCTGGCTTATTCCATCTTTTAAGCTTTAACGTTTTAATTTAAAAGTCACAGGCTGGGGATAAAAATGCATGCTGTAATCCTAACACTCAGGAGGATGAGGCAAGAATATCTTGAGGATATTCTGGGCTACACAGAGAGACCCTGTCTCAAAAAACTAAAAAAAAAGCTGGGCACCAGTACCTCGCACCTGTAATCCTAGCTACTCAGGAAGCAGAGATCAGGAGGATCAAGATTTGAAGCCAGCCTGGGCAAATAGGTCGCAAGACCCTATCTCAAAAACACCCTTCACGAAAAAGGGCTGGTGGAATGGCTCAAGGTGTAGGTCCTGAGTTCAAATCCCAGTACCACAAAAAAAAAAAAAAAAAAACACTTAAAAAAAGAGGGATGGTAGAGTGGCTCGAGTGGTAGAGTGCCTGCCTAGGAAGGATGAGGCCCTGAGTTCAAGCCCCAATACCACCAAAAAAGAAAAAAAGACAACAGTTATTTTTTAAACAAACAAAATATCATGAAAACATGTAGTGATCAACTCATGGGAAACACTAATCTTGAATTAAATACCACTGAATAATCTTAGAGACTTTGTTTTCTTGCCGTGCTAGGGATCAAACCTACGGCCTTATGCATGCTAGACAAGCGCTCTACCACTGAGCTGTATCCCCTACCCCACTGAATACCTTTAAATACCTGGTGGAAATCTTAAACAGAATCCAGTTCCACATACATGCCAATATATTAATTATTCTGGGTCTAAAAGATGAAAATGCTTTTAAATTTCAATAAGAAAAATGTAAAAGTTGACCAAAAGTTTTAAATGTTTGGTTATACTGGCGTACTATAATCAAAAAATTATCCATAAAACAGATCCACAAAAGAAATTGTAAGAGGGATAATAAATTGCAAAGGGATTTGTAAGAGAGTGAGGTCAAGCTGCATTAGCACAGTTGCAAGACAGCGCTTTATATAGACAGCTCTGGACCAGCCCTATAGTCTATCACTTACTGTCTGTACAACTCTGCTAGAGGAGGTTGTTTAATTTTAACAGTATAAACATTTGTTTAAAGTATTTAACATTTAATTGGTAAAAAACAATCTTTAGAACATATATTTCTAGCTGGGCACAGTGGTGTGCACCTATAGTCCCAGCTGAGGCAGAAGGATCACTTGAATCCAGAAGTTCAAGGCTAGACTGGGCCATACATAGCTCTACTTTAATAATAATATGCGTATAGAAGGAAAAAATTATGGCAGCTCTAAACATGACTTATGTTTACTAATGAAAAATTTAGCTATGAAGAAGGAACATACATGAGGATTAAGTGATCTTGGTAATAAATTAAATTAGATGGAAAGGTCAGGCTCATACTATTATACTCCATGACTTACCCATGTTACATATTCTTTTGTTTACACCCTACTTTTCACAATTTTGGAAGTTTTAATCACCTGTACTGTATGAAAGAAAAAAAAAGTTAATAATCAACTTCCTGCACATAATAAATGAAAAACCAACTGCATGACCTGAAAAATGTTTCTTACTTTTAAAGTCTTTTTTAAACAATGTTTTTGAAAGGCATTTGAAAGTTAAATAAAAAGAAATAAAATCTACTGGTAAAACCTTCACCATTAATATTTAGCAGGACCAATGACTGCAGTGCCCTTACACTGGGGAAAAGCAAAGCCTAAGCACAGATACCTGCTCATGGAAACAAATAACCCTATATCCACACATGAGGCAGGTGTACCCCAAAGAGGCCACCATTCTGAGAACTGTCAAATTGTAGGCAGTTCTACTGAACCTTTCAGTGCCTCAGTTTTCTCATCTATAAAATGCGATATATACTAAAAGAGTTGTTCAGAGAAGAGTTAAACTCATGTAAACACCTGGCCCACTGCCTGGCAGAGAGTAGATGGCAGTAACTTTAAAAAAAAAAGTCACATTTTCTAAAGTACTTTCCTTCTTTAATTAGAATAAAACTGACTGATAGGCTGACAACTATTAATTAGGAAATGATTAGGTGTGGCGAGACTAACAACACTGAGATAGCTAACCAGGTTCCCAACATTTTCATTTCATGTCAATGCCCATGATTGTCTAAAGAGTGACCATGGGTGATCATGAAAGTATTTTAAGGAACAATGAAAACAGAAGAATTGTATCCAATTCCCTCAGCAACTTTCCCATGCCATGCCTGAGAAGAGAATGATGAAGAGGGGGCATAGCGGAGCAGATTCCCCTCTCTTTCAGCCTGCCATCTACTACCCGGAAACATGCAACTGTGAAGGACTTAACCAGTGACCTGGTTATCTCTACCAGCTACACTTCTAAGCAGTATGCAAGCACACTATTGCTATGGAATTTAGATTTTCTTTAATGATAAAAATGCACATGACTCAGGTTTGGTCACCCACCCCCATACAACACGGGAATCTGAATCCTCCTTCTGCCAAAGAATGCTGTGTCTCTGCACACAAGCAATTGATTATGGCCTATCACTACACAGACTTCTACATATCATCTAAGGTACACGAGGTCAGGAAAAGAAAATCAGAAAGAAAAGTTTTCAAGTCTCTCTTCTGAAGTAAAGGAATAGATCTGCAGTTTATCTCAAGACTCACTGATGAAAGCCCCATACACACACAAGATCTCCAAAATGCTGGTAACTGTTGGAGCTGGATGATGAATATCAGAGCTCACTATGCTATTTTATATATACTTGAACATTTCCATAATACACAGTTTCAAGATCTGTGTATCTGGGAGTATTTATTCATAAACTCCCAATACAACCTGGTAGAAAATACCATATTGTTCAAAGTTTTCATACTCCATACGTAAATGAATTTCATCCAGCTATTTTCCTACTCTAGAGGCTGTATTGCAAATGGCCAGACTAGGAGTAAAAGTCTAGGGAAGGAAATAATTAACTGCCCTAGAATAAAACACGTCTAACCTTGAAAATACGAAAAGGGAACGGTGCTAAATAGTTATTACAACTACTGCACTTTCATATCGGGAGCAATGTACATTACCTTTCGAGGTGAGTGGAACAGGGGAAGTATTTCACAGCCAAATTCCCTTTTGATTCTTTAAATTGATAAGCAACAGAGGATGGAATAAAGAAACCTACAAAGTCTCCATTAAAGGTAACTGAGCTGGGCCCCAGTGGTTCACACCTGTAATCCTAACTACTCAAGAGGCAGATACCAGGAGAATCATGGTTCAAAGCCAGTCCAGGCAAATAGTTTCACAAGACGTTATTTCAAAAAATCCCATCACAAAAAAAGGGCTGGTGGAGTGGCTCAAGGTGTAGGCCCTCAGTTCAAACCCCAGTACTGCAAAGGGCTGGCTGAGTGGCTCAGGAGGTAGAGTGCCTGTCTAGCAATTGTGAGGCCCTGAGTTCACACCCCAGTACCACCGAAAAAAAGGTAACTGGTCATTCTCATTCTCTCTCTAGAGATCACCTGTTTTCAGTCTCTTGGAAGTGTCTTCCTTTCCTAATAAACTTTAACAGAATAGGGAAAAAAAGAAAGTGTCTCATATCCACCTTTTAGAAATAACATTCAATTCATAGACTGCTAGAATGAATTTACAAAAGGCAAAGATTATAACATACCTCCCTCAATCCAAATTGTCATTCAATTCTTACAGGATTGCTTTCAGTGTAATCCTACATTCATCCCAAAATTTAACTTTTGTTGGTTGTTTCTAGCAATAAAACTTGCAACAAATTAATCTTTCATTAGCACAATTATTAGGAATTTGTGTTTAAGACTCACCATGTAGGAAAAAACATAACTTGGGAAGACTCAAAAACTTACATTATTTCTCTAGTCCAAAAAAAAGCCACAAGAACTTATTTGTTAAAATGTCAGAAAGAACTGCAGGGTTAAACACACAGGCCCAGAAAAAAAGAATTACAGAAACCTCACTGCCGCCACCCCCAAAAAAACTTCCATAGCTACACTTATTTCCTTAGCACAAAAGTGATCTGTCCGCTTTCACAAAACCTGAACATCAAAATTCGCATAATTCCCTTTCAATTGAAAAAGAAAAGAAATTGTTTCATTGAGGTCAAATAGAATTTTGTGTGTCCATCCATGTCAGTTCAGTATGAGTGAAGCACCTAACTCCAGCCTTAACGTCTTGCTCCCCAAGTCCCCGAGAACAGTATACGCTTATAAAATATTTATCTACTTACCAGGTTAAAGACAGTTTCTACAATGTCCCTATTGGACACTTCTCCAACTTCAACCAACCCGGTCAACACGGCAAACTTCATCCTGATGCCCCTGATGGGGAGCCAGGGCTTCAGAGATAACGCACCCCCTTCCGTGGGGGGCTCTTCTTTCCCTCCACCTCCCCCGTCATCACCTGTTGGTGGCGGGGAAGGGACACGATCGTCTTCACTGGCCATGGCAGCTCACGAGGAAGGACAACTGGGAGACACCCTGGGACAGCAACCAGTAATAAAGACGATACACGCAACGCTCGACGATGAGGGTCCCTCTTCCAACTTGAGGACAGACCCCAAAAGCAGGGGCTGCGCCAAGTCCCTGGCGTCGCCCTCCTCTTAGGGAATATGTCCAATCTCTCTCCCGGAGGCTGACAACAACGCCAAACCCTATTGGAAGATTAAATATCTGTTAAATAGTCTAGATCTTGCTTGGGGGCTTGGGGGCTTGGGGTGGAAAACAGTTACTGTGGATAAAGTAAGTTCTGGAGGCCCCCGGCAGCAGCAGCCCCCGCTCCCCCTCGAGTGCGTCCCGCGCAGGCGTCGGGAGGCCCGGGAACAGGTTCCCTCCCCCACCTCGCAGGTCGGGCGCCCGCAGCCTCCTCACAGGTGCACAGGGAGAGACGCTGTCGCGGGAGAGGAGGGGCCCGGGGACAGCAGGGGACCCCGGACTACCTCGGGAGGTGGGAGGAGGGGGTAGAAAGTTCCTCCTCACGCGGAGCCCGGGACCCGTCCTCCCCTGCCGGGGCGCAGGAGCCGGAGGTGGCGGCGGAGATCCAGGGCAGGAAAAGGCGGGGACGGGGGCGGCGACTCCGCGCGGCGCTCGGCCCATGGGGGGGGGGTGGGGAGCGGGGAGTGAGCACCTCCCGGGCACCTGAGGCTCGCGGGACCGGGGATGAGGGGGTCAGGGGGAGGTAGAGGCGTATAGAAGGGGGGAGGAAGGTGTGTGTGGTGGCGGGGAGGGGGCGGCCGAGGAGCGACAAGGACGAGGGCGAGGCCACTACACCTGGTCGCACGCAGCCTCCAGGTTTCCCTAGTCCGCTCCCCGGGAGTCCGCGGCTCCCCAAACTCCTCGTTTTCCCGGCCCGCCCCGCCCCTCTGCCACCGCTCAGCCTTTGCAAAAGCAGCTGATTCGGGGTGTAGGGACACCGCCACTAAGGCTACTGCGGCGGGTGAGGCTGCTGCTGACACGGCTTGCCTCGCCACAGCTCGCGCGGCGGTCCCCGTGCCCGCGGAAGCTGCTCCCGGCAGCCATGACAGCGCCGACGGCTGCCGGGCGCGGCGTGCGCGTGCGCGGAGCGCGCGGGGCGCGCGGGGCGGGCGGGCGCCGAGGCGGAGATGGGGACGCGCGGGCGCGCGGGCGAGGGGGCCGGGGAGCCGCGGGAGCGCGGGGGCGCTTAGGTACGCGCTTCCTGGAAGGACGGGTGCTCACCTTTCCTTTCCCAGGCCGATTCGTCTTTTCCCCCCAGCCCCCCATCTAGAAAGGTGCTTTGGCTAGCGCTCCGGTTGTTAGGTTACCGCAGGTGTCTAGCCCTCTTGGGAACCCGTCCCACGTTGTCAAGGTGACTTCTTGAACTTGGAGAAGTACACCTGAGGGACCCACAAGTCGATGAGGTGGCGGCGCTGGGGCCGGCGGGGCTGCGGTCTCTGCCTAAGGGGAGCGATGCGTCCCCAGCCAGCGTGCGTTCAGCTGCTGCTCGCGGTGGCGCTCCGCGAGGACATGGAGACGTGTCCACCGGGACCCGGGCAGCTGCGCCCTCGGGGGGGGGCACAGGGGAGGGAGGGTCCGCTCCTTGCAGCTGCCAACCCTGCAAGCCTCATCCCCGTTGCAAGGAGGGCAGCCGTGCCCGAGGCAGCTGCTTCAAACCCTGGAGGCGAGGTCCTTTATGTCCATAGATCTCCGAGGTCAAAGTTAGGTTTGCCTTATTCTCAGATTAGCTCAAAATTGTCATAAAGCATTGGAGACGGAAAAAAAAAAAGATCAACACGCCCTAAGAGTGTCCTTCTCTCCACCCGCACTGCTAAAGGTAAAGCAGGCTTCCTGGTGCATTACTGAAAAATGAACATGCAAAGCTGGTTTCTCACCCTAATGGTATTCTCTGAGGTCTTAAGGCCATTAAAATATGTAATATTTAAATACTCCTGGCTCCCTAAAATGAAAGTGAAGCAAAAGGAAGTACTCTGGAGGAGTCAGAAGGAAAACATACTGGTTTGAGAGATGAAATTGCTTCCTGGATAAAGGGTTATTTGAAATGACCCTGAAAAGCAGACAAATAATTTTAACTGTCACATGGAAATTTGTAAGGAGAGACGCCACATGAGAAAAGATCCTAGCAAGGGAGTGTTTTAAGTATTACACCTTTTTAAAATACTAGACACCATTCCATTGCACCAAAAATAGGTTTAAATATTCTAAAGATTAGGCAGATATTTTTCTGATGATCTGAATTGCTGGCTTGTGCACTTAGCAGGTAAAAGGCAACATGGGTGGCCTTCCACCTGCCAGCCCTGAAAAACAGAACACCTCGGGCTTATATTTCAGATCGTTAAATGAGTAAGTCTGGAATACGAGAGCGGGTGTGCCCAGAAGAGAAGCAACTTTCTCTTGCCCTTTGACACATCCCTATTTTGAAAGCTGGGGCATTAAACCATGAAAATCCTCTAGTAAGACTGTGTCCTCAGGTCTGGGCAAATAATATATCTGGTTTATCAGCACTAACAAAGTTTTTGTTAAGTAAATAAATGTCTTCCATTTATAAAGGGCCAGATGATAATAGTGAAAATGTCCTCAACACCATGTGGTCACGATTATCCAGTCTCCATCTGAGGCTAAGATTGGCTTATATTTTTGTGTTCACAGGTAATGCTGTCCTCCAGGTGAAACAAAAGTGAGCATAAGTCAATTATCCAATTATTTCAAAATAAATTATAAACTTTTTTGGCAATTTTTCAGGATTTTTCAACCTCCCTTACTTTGCCCATGATTAATTAAATAGTCGGGATGGTGACTCATGCCTGTAATCCTAGCTACTTGGAAGACTAAGATTGGGAGGATCAAATTTGAGACAAACCCAGGCAAATAGTTCTCAAGACCCCATCTTCAAAATAACCAGAGAAAATTAGACAGGACGTGTGACTCAAGCAGAGCGCCTGCTTTGCTAGTGCCAAGTCCTGATTTCAAACCACAGACCCACGAAAATAAAAAAGTTTGAAGGGTTACTGCAGAAAAAAGTGTAGAGCAGACAGAAAGGAAAGCTTCACCAAGCCACGGCTAAAATTCGATAGCTGTGGGTTAGTGTTTAGGTATACAGCATGGAATTGTGCAACGCTTCCGTGTGGACTATCAGCCCATCAGTTCCTAAGCTCCTTGGTGTTGGATACTTTACACATTGTGGGTGCTCTATACATACTATTTGGACTGAGTTAAACTCAACTACTTGTTTTAGTTTTTTCTGGCCTGAAAGCCCTTGCTGAAGTCTGCTACCAGTTAGATTGAGGAAATCCTGGTATAAGTGGATATCTTAACACGGAAAACAGATATACATTTTGTTTATATCTTTGGTACAAATAGTGGAAACTTTGTGATCAAAAAGCTTCATATGAGGTATGCAAGTGAGGTTATAAGACTGCCTTACCTGTCTTCCCATATCATACGCCACCCCAAAAAAAATAAAAATAAAGATAAAAAAATCAGGAAGGGAAAAAAAATATCTCCCAGAAAGCCAGGCTCAGTGTTCTAATTTACATCTCTCTTTGACATCAACATCTTGATGGAATTAAGGATCAAAGGATTTTGTAATTTCCTTGTCTTCAGCATAATTGGAATCTTAGCAGAAAAAAAGGAGAGAAAGACAGAGAGAGAGAGAGAGAGAGAGAGAGAAACATAGTAGATTCAGTACAGGAAGCTTTCTGCATAACTCAGAGGAACTCAAGCAAAGAGAATGTAATTTCAGGCCAAAATCAAGACTATTGATCTGCAGACTCTTACCTATATACAAAGAAAAATTTTTTTAAGACCAAAGATGGGATGGAATGTTCCTTCTATCAGGAAAGCACTCAATCCACTCAATTGTAACTTCTTGGTGTTTTGTTAGTGCATAGATCAAGTGATAACTTATAAAAAGCACCACCTATGTGATTTGTACTGCACCTGGGTATGTGTACCCCTGGATTTGGAATTCCTTCAATTTTTCTTCAGCTCAGCTCATGTTATCTTAAGCTGAAATTCATGTCCCTAGCTTGCTGCCTCTTTGTGAGAAATGTAAACACTGCTTTTACTATTCATAAACCTTACTAATGTTAAATAAAACTTTGGCCTCCAGAATTCTGGAATACCATGTCTGGCTCATTTTAGATATTTTATTTTATTTTTCCTTTGTGCATGTCCACAAAAGATAGAGACTTTGAAAAAAAAAGCTCCATTTTTAGCAAGTATGATAACCAAAACAAGCCTTTTAAGACAAAATATTTGTGCAGTGTTTAAGATAGTTGCTTTGGACATAAGACTAGGTTGGTTGATTCATCTGTTCTATTTTTCCCATCCCCATTTTGTTCTTTTTTTTTTTGCAATACTGGGGCTTGAACTTAGGGCCTACACCTTGAGCCACCCCATCAGCCCTTTTTTACGATGGGTTTTTTCAAGAACTACCTGCCCAGCCTGGCTTTGAACTGCAATCCTTCTCATCTCTGCCTCCTGAGGAGCTAAGATTACAGGCACCACTGGTGCTCAGCCATTTTGTTCTTAAGTAATATGTAAGTAATGGCTTATTTGTAGTATTCCCTAACAATAAGGTACTACTAGTCTGCAGAGAAATGTACTATCATGCCAACACCCCACCACTGAAATCTTTTTTCTTAAGTGTTGGGACTGGAACCCCGGGCCTCAGGCATGTTAAGCAAGAGCTCTATCACTGAGCTATACCCTCAGCCACCATTGCAATTTATGAAAGGGCACATCCCTAAAATAACTATTGGTGTTATCAACTAGGTTCTGAATTGCTTGCCAGTTGAGGTGTGTGAGACACCAGTGCACTTTTGGAAAGGGGTAACTTACAATTTTCACCATCAGTACAGCCGTGGAAGTTCACACAGGAAACAAGACACTGGGAGGTGAACTCTGAGCAGATAGGAGAGATTATTTTTCTAGCCTTCACTCTGGGGCTTGTACTTTGAACTGCTTGCTAGTACTCCAAGTAGAGAGAGAAAGATGACTTCCATATGTGGTGGCAGGGTTGCAACACTCCTGCTTAGAACCAGCTAGTTGAAGAAGTCATGTAGAGAATGAAGGTCCTTCAGTCAACATCCCCAGCTGAATTCCTGGCCAACAGCCAGCCCCAACTGCCTGCCCTATGAGTGAGTGCATCCAACACTACTTGGTACAGAATCGCATATAGGACCACTTGATCCACAGAAATTGTGACAGTTTTATGTTGTTATATAGAAAAACAAAGAAAGCCAAAACATCAGGTAAAACAGATTTTCTAGTTTTGCATTACTGTCCCTAGACATACTACTAGCCCCCCTACAGCTGGGTTATAGGTGTGTGTCACCGTGCCCCACCATTCATTCTTTTCTTTTCTTTATTTATTTAAATTCGTTTATTTTAGCTATGCTAAGGATTGAACTCAGGGCCTTGCACATGCCAGGCGAGCACTCTACCACTGAGCCACCATCCCATCCCTCTGGAATGCATTCCAAGTGGGAGGGCGGGATGTTGTCATTGTGCCTCTCCTGGACGTGTATTTGCAGTAAACAGAGTGGGCGCTTCCCCTCTGGAGCACCAGGTACTATAAATATTTGCAGTGAGACAGGTACAGATGTTGTCTTTACACTATACATTTGGTGCATTTGAACTTGTACCTGTTTCTCAGTAGAGAAAATCATGTGAAGTATCTGTAAAGAAGTGGGTGTTTATTTCGTAAAGTTAAACTCAATTCTTATTTAGCATCAGAGAAAATCTGGAAAATGCCTTGCGGACCTCATAACACCAGCCTGGGCTACACAGTGAGACACTGTCTCAAAGAAGCAAACCAACTGCTGGCAGAGTGGCTCAAGTCGTAGAGTGCCTGTCTACCAAACATGGGGCCCTAAGTTCAAGCCCCAGTACTGAAGGAGCGGAGAAAAAATGAAAAAAAAAGTGTATCCCAGGGCCTGTGGGTGTAGCTCAGTGAAAGAGTATTTCCTTAGAATACACAAAGCCAAGAGTTCGATACTCCTCCCCACCAAAAATTACCCCAGAATTTAAAAAAAAAATGTAAATGTATCCCAGGCATAAGGTAGAATTAAAATCACGTTCACATTTGAATGGACAACTATGACCTGTTTTTTTTTTAATTTACTTTTTATTGTGCTGGGAGCACATTGTGGCATTTACAAAAGTTCTTACAATGTATCAACTATATCATATTTGAACTCACCCCCTCCACCATTCTCCTTTATCCCCACCAAATTGTTCTTCACAAACCTAAAAACAATCAAAATAAATATCTCACACGCACACGCACACGCGCACACACACACAGGGGTTGTCAAATAATACTTATTCCATGCACTGGACATTAGAAATAGTTAGACACAGAAAATTGTTGTGATACATTAAGTAAAGGAACTCCCTACCTTTTTGGTCATGTGCTATTAATGATATGATACCAAATATTTCAGACAAGGAGAAATTCATATTAATCCCAATCATTACAAAAACCACTTTTTTTAGCAGTACTGGGACTTGAACTCAGGACCTACACCTTCAGCCACTCCACCACCCTATTTTTGTGAAAGGTTTTTGGAGATAGGGTCTCACAAACTATTTGCCTAGGGCTGGCTTTGAACCATGATCCTCCTGATCTCTGCTGAATAGCTAGGATTACAGGCCTAAACCAC